TCCTGAAGGGTTTCCTGGTCAGAAATATTGCCCTGGTGGGCGGTGGCAGGGATTCTAGGCATGGCCCTTGGCACACAGTAGGTGCTCAGTCAACGTGTTTCCCTGCGCCTTATCCTGGGGTACTTTTGTTTGTTTGCTTTTATATTTTTATTGATTTCAGAGGGAGAAGGAAAGATAGAAACATCAATGGTGAGAATCACTGATGAACTGACTCAACTCCTGCATGCCTCCTACTGGGGATTGAACCCACAACCTGGGCATGTGCCCCGACCAAACCAGTCATCTTATACGCCGGCAAATACAGTATTTGTCTTTTTGATAATGGCCATTCTAATAGTTGTGAAGTGGTAATCTCATTGTAGTTTTAATTTGCATTTCCCCAATAATTAGTGTTGCTGAGCATTTTTGTCATAGGTTGGTGCTCAACCACTGAGCCATACCATCTGGGCTCTGCCCTTTTAAAAAATGGATTGCTCTTCTTTTAGCTATTGAATTGTATGATTTCTTATTATGGATATTAACCCCTTATCAGAAATATGATTTGCAAATATCTTTGCCCATTCCATAGTTGCTTTTTTATTTCATTAGTTTCCTTTGCTGTGCAGAAGCTTTTTAGTTTGGAGTTTAATGGTTTCATGTCTTACATTCAATACTTTAATACATTTTGTGTATGATAGATGCATGTGGTTGACCAGTTTTCCCAAGGGTACTTATTAAAGAGACTATCCTTTCCCCATTGTATATTCTGGCCCCTTTGTTATAAATGGACCCATATATGTGTGGGTTTACTTCTGGGCTCTGTATTTTGTTCCATTGATCTGAGTCTGTTTTTATGCCTATACCATATTGTTTTGATTACTATAGCTTTAATATAGTTTTAAATCAGGGAGCATGATGCCTCCAGGTATGTTCTTCTTTCTCAAGATTGCTTTATTATTCGAAGTCTTTTGTGGTTCCATACAAATTTTAGGATTACTTATTCTATTTCTGTGAAAAAGCCATTGAACCTGTAGATTATTTCGGATAGTATGGACATCACCTTTAACACCTTTATTGAGAAAATGTATATACATAACATTCACCTGTCTTAAGCACAACAAAGCAATTATTTTTAAAGTTTACAAAGTTGTACAAAAATCATAATTTAATTTTAGAACATTTTATCACTCCCATTTGCAGATGATCCCTGTTCCCATCCCTGCCCATGCAACCACCAATCTAGTATCTAGTTGAGGTTTTTCTTTTTTGATATTTTATAAAATGGAATCATACCTTGTATGGTTTATTGTGTTAGACTTATTTCACTTAGCATAATGTTTCTGGGGTTTAGCTGTGTTATAGTATGTATCAGTACTCCACTGTATGGATTTTTTGTTTATCCACGTACCAGTTGATGGTCATTTGGGTTGCTTACCTCATATGAACAATGATGCTATGAATATTTGCCTGTAAGTCTTATAAACATGTTTTCCTTTTTTGGGAGGTGGGACACCAAGCGTAATTTCTAGGTCATATGGTGAACTTATATTTAACTTAGGAAACCTCCAGATTGTTTTTTGAACCTGGCTGCACCATTTTACATTCCCACCAGCAATGTATTAGGGCTTGTTTCTTCACATCTCACCAACACTGCCTTCTTTTTTTTTTTTTAGGAAGAGAGGGAGAGAGAAGGCTGGATAGAAACATCCATCAGAGAGAGACATCATCAACTGGTTGCCTCCTGCACGCCTGCTTCTGGGGATTGAGCACACAACCAAGGCATGTGTCCTTTGTTTTGGGGATCTTATCTAAGAACTCTTTTCCTAAACCAACGCCATGTAGGTTTTCTCCTAAAAGTTTTACAGTTTTAGCTCTTATATTTAGGTCTCTGATTCATTTTGAATTTACTTTTGTATATGGTAGGAGGTAAGGGTCTAAATTAATCTTTTTTGCATCTGGTATCCAAATGTTCCAGCACCATTTGTTGAAAAGACTATCCTTTCTTCATGGAAATGGCTTGGCACCTTAGTTGAAAATCAATTGACCATAAATATGAGGGCTTACTCCTAGGCACTCAAGTTCTGTTGCACTTATCTTTCTATCTTTATATCAATATCACACTGTCTTGATTATTGTAGTTTTGTAGTAAGTTTTGAAATCAAGAAGTGTTCCTCATTTTCAGAACTGTTTGGGCTATTATGGATCCTTTGAATTTCCCTAGAAATTTTAGGATCAGCTTGCCAATTTTTCTAAAAAGCCTGCTGGGTTTTGCATTGATTTTTAAATAAACTTTTAAAAGACAATTGCCATCTTAACAATATTAAATCTTTTAATTCATGAACATGGAATACCTCTATTTACCTCCCTTAATTTCTCTGTTTATAGTTTTCATTGTACAAGTCTTTTACTTCTGTTAAATTTATTCTTAAATATTTTTGTTAGTATTTTGGATGGAATGATTTGTTTTCTTTTTGGGGGAGTAGGTCTATTAAAACTGGGGACAGTGAAAAAAGGAAGGCCTAGGATAGAAGGATCAACAGGTGAGAGCCTAGGCAGGGCTACTTTGGTCTCTAGAAACGTTATAGGAAAGAACTGAGGTTAGGCAGGGCTGCTGTTGGCTCACTGGAGTCAGAAAAAAGGGGTTTGGGGGACAGGTTCAGGCTATTAAACCAGGATGAGCTGCTGCCCATTGCCCCCTGGTTGCAAATCTCATGGAGTCCCTTAGAGTTTAGGAGATGCGCACCTGTGGGGGAAGAACAGAGGGAGGAGTGGGCATGCTCCTGGAAGGAAGAGCATGCCTAGAATTATTTTATTTCATTTTTGGGATTTTCATTGCTAGAATACAAAAACAATTGATATTTGTATATTAATATTGTAGCCTGTGACCTTGCAGAGCTTGTAGATTCCGGTTTGTTATGTACCAGGCTGCTTTCTGGTCCTTTCTGTGGCTGGGCATTTAGCAGCTGGCATTTCTTCCAGTGTCCCAGAGTACAGATCTGATTTTGTTTTTGTTTCTTTTCCCTCCAGTAAAGCTGCTCAAATTGTCTGGGGTCCCTTTAACTACCCTGAAGGCTCTGTTAACTTGCATGTTTCAATACACATTTTGAAAAAGCAGTGTAAATTCTGGAGATGGTCTCTCTTGAAAACAAACTCTAGATTCCACACTCTGCCCCTCCCCATCCCCTTGCTTTTTTAAAAAAAATCGAGTCCAGAAAGTTCTGGGATACTTCTGTTTTGGACGGGTGAGGTTAACCACATGACACCACAGTCAGCTTCTTTAAAAGACTAATGAATAGGCTTCCAAAGGGCTTTTTCTCCAATTGCATTTATTGACCTCTTTATTGTTCTTTAGAATCTAGAGTTTAGACTGAGGCCAAAATAGAACTTTTCTCAATTTTTTGTTGTTGTCAAGTGTTGTGATGGAATCATCCAAATAAATAAATAAATAAATGGACATCATATTTTCTTAAATATTTATTTTCAGATAAAAATCCTACGTCTTAGAGCCAAGGATGCAAGGACTTGTATATCCTGGTTGGAATAATGGTTCCTCTCTACCTGGGAAGTCACTCTGTATAGTTAGGGGCTGGGAGGGAAGGGGTTGAAATCTGAGAAGGTAAAGGTTTTTCTTGGAACAAAGCTAGCTGTCAGTCATCACCAGACCATTACTGTGGCCAGAATTCTAGAAATGGTGTACAGTTCATCTTCTATTCATTCTTCATGAAGTACATCTGTGAAGCAAAAAAAAGTCTGAATAAAACACCTAAAATATTTTACCAGCTTTTGAAAAAACTGTGTTGTTTTCCCAATACACACTCCATTTTTCATTATATAGCAATAATGGTTTGAGTGAAATAGACCCAAGTTCATAATACAGCTTGAGGGGTAGGCTTTGATGGGTCTAGGTCCGTGGTAGGCAAACTGCGGCTCGCGAGCCACATGCGGCTCTTTGGCCCCTTGAAGGTGACTCTTCCTAAGCCTTAGGAGGACCCTAATTAAGTTAATAACAATGTACCTACCTATATATTTTAAGTTTAAAAAATTTGGCTCTCAAAAGAAATTTCAATCGTTGTACTGTTGCTATTTGGCGCTGTTGACTAATGAGTTTGCCGACCACTGGTCTAGGTCAGTAAGAAAATCCTGTGCCCCATCCCTTCACAGAACGAATGGGTTAGCTTACAGCATACCTGTGGCCACATGGATTGGTTCAGGGGTGCCCTGAATTTAGTGTGAAGTTCAAGACTCCCACTTGGACAGTGAGTATGTTACATGCAGGGTGGGACAAAAGGAGGTTTATAGTTGTGAGTACACAGAACAGTTTATTCTTATTAATTATTGTATTTCCCATATGAACTTTAAACCTACTTTTGCCCCACTCTGTATAAAACTGGGAACTTTGCCATCTATAGTAGACTGCTTCTAAGTTGGCCCCTAATGGTCCTTGCCTCTTGGTGTTCATATCCTTATACAATCCCCTCACCTTAAGTGTGGGCTAGAGCTGGTGATTAGTTTCTAACTGGTCATGGAATACAGCAAAAGCGATGGGATGTCACTTCTGAGATTAGTTACAAAAAGAGTGTGGCTTCCACCTTGGGTACTGTGTCTCTCGGAGGGAAGCCACACGCCAAGTTGTGAGGTGCACTGTAGAGAGATCCATGTTGCAAGGAACTGGAAGAGGTCTCTAGACAAGGGTCAGTGAGAAACTGAGGCCCTGAGTTCAATAACCTGTGAGGAACTAATTCTGCCAACAACCACATGAATGAGCTTGGAGAAGGGGATCTTCTTCCATTTGGGCCTTCAGATGACATCATAGTCCTGGCAGATAGCTTAACTGCAACCTCAATGAGAGACTGTGAGCCAGGGGCTCCATGTTAAACTATGTCCAGATTCTTGACTCATAGAAAAGATAAGGTTAAAAAAAAGTTTGTTGTTTTAAGACATTAATATACCATAATAAGAAAAATGTTTGAGCTGGATTTTCCCCCCTGCTATTTGTAAATAAAAGCATATTTACATATACTAATTAGTAGTAATTTAATCTTGAAAAGGTTCTTAGACAGCCCTGGCTGGGTAGCTCAACTGGTTAGTGCATTGTCCGGATAAGCCAAGGTTGTGGGTTTGATCCCCGTCAGGGCACATACAAGAATCAACCAATGAATGCATAAGTAAGTGGAACAACAAATTGATGTTTCTCTTTCCCCCCCCCTCCCTTCATTTCTCTCTCAAGTAATAAAAAGAGGTTATTAGACATTAAAACCTTTATATGCAAATAAATTTACAGCTTAAAAATTTAAGCAAACAGAAAAAATCCATCTGTTTACTCACAACCATCTCCATTTCTCATATGGAAAATTAAGTAATGAGACTCATTCAGAATTTCTTGTAATACTAACAAAGTCTGGGCAAAGGTTTACTTTGATTATTTACACAAATAAATAATGTACATAATTAATAATAGGGTAACTATTAATTCCAGTTGAAACATTTTGTTGGAAGTCCTTAAAAGTACTTTAACACTATCTGTTTATATACAAGTTTTAAATATGCTAATTAAAAATGATTTTTAATTGCTACCTATTTATTAAACTAGGTCTGGAAGGACCTCTGGCTAGGCTTTCTTTATTTTCAGTCTATCTGGAAAAAAACCCACCTTTCATTTCATGGAGAAAAGGTGTTTTGAACCAAAGAGTATGATTAATTCGATCCTCTATATCTGAAGCCCAATAAAACAAAAAATCTCCAACCTCACTATATTCTTAGTAGAGGTTTTGAATTGATACTTACACAGGCCATTTTGAGCTCACTGCTAAAACCCTTTGTTTTACAAGATCTTTAGGGGAGCGGGATCATTGGAAAAGGTCACTCTGGGTATAAGTTGGGAGGCAGGTATAGTGCTTATTCCTTATATGTTATTTCCTTATATTTCATTTTCTAGAAGGTTCAGTAAAGGAATACCATTTTTTCTTGCTTACCAAAAATACCTCTCTCAAATATCCTTTTCATGTATTTAAAGATTTGCTTGAAGGCCGTGTTTTTTCTTTTACAAAAATTCGAATAATAAAAAATAAAATGACAGACATCAAGTGTGCTTCTGGAAAGAAGACAGGACAGGATTGAAGGCAGAGGTAAGGGGGAATTTTTCTTTTTTAAATCTTATATGTAATTATTTTAACTTTTATAACAAGGTTGTATGTTTTTATAATTTTAAAAATAATTGAAAGTTGGGAAAAAAAAGAATGTTTCCTGAGAAGGTCTCATTTGTAGTTTAGGATTAATTTCTTCAATCACAATATTAAATCAAAACCTATCAAGCGGGTCCAAACTGGTGGCACAGAAAGAAACTAAACTGCCCCCTCCCATGAACACATCAAATACACACCCACATTTACAACAATTCCTCCTGAGAGACAACGCAGGGCCGACTGAAAAGTTTCCGCACAACAAAGGAGAGAGAGAGAGAGAGAAAGAGAGAGAGAGAGAGGGAGGGAGGGAGGGAGAGAAGGAGGGAAGGAGGGAAGGAGGGAAGGAGGGAGGGAGGGAGGGAGGGAAATCGCGTGCGTGCATGCGAGCACATAAAGGTCGAAGAATCATGATAGCGCTCTGGGATCAGCGGTGCCAGGTGAGTGCCAATGTTTACATCCCCCCCTCCAGTTGGATAGTGCAGGGGGGAGTGCTATGCAAGTGCTCTGGTGGACCTACAAGGCTGCTGCAGTGAATTTCCAGATGTCCTGTCCAGAGCTTATTTCAGTGAACCAAATGGTGCTGTAGTTGGCAGCCTAGCCTGGATCTCAGCTCTGGCTAGACAACTGGATCAACAGGCTTTGCCTCATCCAGACCTCGATCCTGTGGGAACTGAAAGGTCACCAAAATATGCATGCATTGGGGCTTCCCTGCCAGTACTTCACTCTGTCCAGGACAGCCAGACCAATAGGGAGCTACTGTATGCATGCGTATGCACTGGGTCACTTCACCCTGGGCCAGCACCTCCCAGGCAACTGACACCAGACACTGTAGGCGTCCTCCCTGACTCCAACCACCTTGTCAAATCCCAGCACACAGTCTATACCAGGGGTGGGGAGCCTTTTTTTTCTGCCAAGGGCCATACAAAATTATCAACTTAAAAATTAGCCTGCTATATTTGGTCAAACATTTAAGTAACTCACCCCTAATGACTTTGCAGGGCCAGGCCAAATGATTTCATGGGCCTTATGTGGCCCGTGGGCTGGACATTCCCCACCCCTGGTATACATACACAGGAGTTGCTTCTACACAAGGCCATTTTTCAAAATTGGAAGAGATGGGTATTACATCTACTTAACAGGAACAAACACTGAAAGTCAAAATGAGAAACCAGGAACAGGTTCCAAATGAAGGAACAACAAATCCAAAAAAAAAAGCTGAATGAAATGGAGATAAATAATTTGCCTGATAAAGATTCAAAGGAATGGCTATAAGCATGTTCACCAAATTTGAGAGTGGAAGAGAGGAACTCAGAACTTGAACAAAAAGTTAGAAAATAAAGACTATTCATTGCTGAAGAACAATATAACTGAAATGAAAACTACACTAGAAGAAATTAGCAGATTAGATAAAACAGAAGAATGGATTAGTGACCATGGCAGAAGAGAAATCATCCAGCCTGGGTGAGGGGATGATGGCTGTTTGCAGCTGGTCACACGCCCTTCAGGGTGGGCGTCCCCACTGGGGTGCCTGGCCAGCCTGGGTGAGAGGATGATGGCTGTTTGCAGCTGGTCCCCCCCCCTTCAGGGTGGGGGGGTCCCCACTGGGGTGCCTGGCCAGTCTGGGTGAGGGGCTGAGGGCCGTTTACAGGCTGGCGGGTGACTGAAGCTCCCGACCTCTCCTTTTTTTCTTTTTCTTTTTTTATTCTGGGATTTATTTACCTTCTATGGCTGTCATTGGAGCTGAGAGCGGCTTTAGCTCTGAGGCTCAGCTCCAGCTCTGAGACCTCGGCTGCTGAAAGGAGGTATCTGGATTTGTTTGGGCTCTATAATTGCAACACTTTCGCGGTCCTGCTCGCTCCAGCTCTGATGCTGAAAGCTGGTTTCTGGGGTTTATTTACCTTCTATAATTGCAACATTGTTTCTTAGGCTGCAGCTCAGAGGCTGGCAGCGGCAGGTGGGGAACCTTGGCTTCCTCCTTCACTAGAGCAAGCAAGCCTTATGTTCACTTCAGCTGCCTGGCTGCCAGCCGCCATCCTGGCTGGCAGTTAATTTGCATATCGCCGTCAGGTAGTCATAATAATCTGGCCACTCAGTGTATACAATGTAATATTACTCAGCCATTAAAAAGAATGAAATCTTGCCACTTGTGACAACGTGGATGGACCTAGAGAGTATTGTGCTAAGTGAAATAAGTCAGACAGAGAAAGACAAATACCATATAATTTGCCTTATATGTGGAATCTAAAAAACAAAGGAACAAACAAACCAAGACTCATAAAAATGGAGAATAAACTGATGGTTGCCAGAGGGGAGAAAGTAGGGGGATTGTTAAAAAAGGTGAAGGAAAATAATAGGTACAAACTTTTCAGTTATAAAATAAATGGGCCACAGAGATGTAGTATATAGCATAGGATATACAGTCATAATATAATAAGTTGGCATAGTGACTGGTGGTTACTAGCACAGTGTGGTGATTACATCATAAGACATATAAATGTTGAATCATTATGTTGTACACCTGAAACTAATATACTATTGTATGCCAACTAAACTTGAATTAAAAATTTAAAAAAACTATCTGAGCACTTGAGAGTATGTGAAATGAGAAGCAAAGAGAGGAAAAGATGAAGAGTTATGATTAAAACAGCACGAGGGAGATACATTCTGATGGGCAGTTCTGAAGGAGGTGTAGGGGAGGGCTATGCATTTGGGAGCAGGGTCACAATTCAACAAGGTCAGACTTGTAAATTTATCTGCTTATCTGTACATGAGAGTACTAGGGTGTTGGCTGGGTTGGGGGTGATTTCTTTGAAGAGGGCAGTAAGATGAGGATGTTCTCAATGGATCATTGCAGTAGTTGAGTTGAAGTTAGTTGCTATTTCCTGGGGAGAAACTTACCAGGTTGGACTTGGGGTTTGAGTATGAAGGTCATAGTGGATTGCAAGAAACAGAATTAACTATGGTAAACCTATATAGGGGGAATAATAACAACAAGGATGGGGCACAAAGTAACAAGAGTGGATAGGAAGTGAGTGTGGCAGCTGAGAACTAATGGATGTCATGTTCTCTGTTAGCAAGCTGAGGATATCCTGATGTCTATACTTGGTTTTTATTTTTATACTAGAAGCCCAGTGCACGAAATTAGTGCACAAGAGTGTGTGTGGGGAGTCCCCTCAGCACAGCCTGTACCTCTTCAACTAGAACCCCTTGGGGGATCTCCAAATGCCAGTGTAGGCCCGATCCCAGGGATCAGGGGATCGGGCCTAAACTGGCATTGGGACACCCTCTCATAATCCTGGATCACTGGCTCCTAATCGCTCACCTACCTGCCTGCCTGCCTGGTCACCCCAATTGCTCCCCCCCGCCCCGGCCCCGCTGGCCTGATCGCCCCTCACTGCCTCTGCATGCCAGCCTGATCGCCCCTAACTGCCCCCCACTGCCG